ACAGAGCATTAGATAAGATGTGCAGCAATAGAAATTATTGTGTTGTTGAAGGGACACAGACTTTGGAAAACCATTTGGCAGAATCTTGTACATTTGAAGATGGCTTTGTTCTACAACACAAAAAAATTCATGCCTAATGGATGATTAAACTGTGTCACATTTATACAAGACAGAAGAGCTAGCAGCTAGATACATTTACGTGAATGATTCCCAGAAATATAATGTTGAGGGAATAATCAAGTTGTAAAATAATGCCTTAACCATGATTCAATTTATATAGAGTTAAACAGGAAAAACTAAACAATATACTGCTTTCAACTCCCTATCCATGAGCTTACTAGAATAATAAACACAAACTTCAGGTTAATAGTGACATGAAATATGGGAGGAAAGAGAATTGGATTGAGGAGGAGCATTCAGGCCATTTCAATGCTATTGATAATGTTCTATTTCTTAGCTGGGGTCATAGGTTCATGTGAATGACAAAAAAGTGGAAGCAGAATAGAGATAAAAGGGCAAACTACTCTTTAAAGAAAATACAGAAGGGGATAAAGAAAATAAATAAAGGCAATATAGTAGCTCTGAAGCAACAATGAATAGAGGAAGAGTGTATATATATATGTACTTTTTTAAGAGTATATGTTTTAAGATGAATATATTTGAGCCTATTTGTAAACTGAATGGAAAGACTACACAGGCAAGGAGAACTGAGGGTACGTTGATTAGGTGGACAACTGAAGACATGGTACCTCTGCCTGAGATCACAGGAGACAGAGCTTCAGAGCAAATGGAAAGGAATTTATCTTAGATCGTAAGACTCTCAGTGAAACCAGAGTGAAGGGTGCACACAATACCAATCAATCTATTCCTGGGTCACTATCGATTCCTAAAATTAGTTAATTCACTCATGCATTCAAGTATTTATCCATTTAACCATGCATTCATTCATCAAATGCTTAGCAAGCGTCTGTTTTTAAATATTGCCTTTAAAAAAAATCTGGTCTTAGTCAACAGAGGCACCTCGGCTCTCTTGTTAGTGTCATATGTATATATTCGATGTCCTATCAGGTTTTTAAAATCCCCGATCTGTTCTCAAATTCTGTTCCATTTCCATTTCCATTGCTATTATTCCATTGGATAATTAACACCTCATGCCTGTTTTATGTCTCTTTTTGTAGGAAAGGTAGAATAATCTTGTGTTGTGTATTTCTTTTTCCTCTGGCTTTACCCACCTAGAGGTAAATGTTAAGGTCAAATTTTAGTTTAAGAAAGGAGAAGAAGAGAGAAAAGTATCCTTCTGGTTGTATTCCCCATTCATTGTCGGGGTTGCTTTTTGAATTACAGGTCTTTCTAAGGACTAACTCATGCTTTCTCATTGATGGATGCAGCTCTCGTGAAGCAGGAAAGGCCGTCTTCAGATCTCCTGACTCCTGGGACATTTTCTGCTGGGACCACTGAAGTGTATGAAATCTCATGCAAGAGAGCCCTCATTCCCTTAAAATTTGTTGATTCACTTATTAATTCAATTATTTATCCATTTAACCATACATTCATTCATTGAATGCTTAGTAAGGGTCTGTTTTTAAAGGCTACTACTGGTAATGACCCTGTGATCCTCTGTGTTCTTCTGAAGATGTTCTGCTGAGCCGTGCTGGGCAGCTGCAGGCAGAATCTTCTGTAATAGGCACGGAGCTGGGCTGCGCTATCACTGTGCTGCCCTGAAGCTGCTTTCATGAATGGAGAAAATCCTTTGCCTTCCAATCACATTTTGTTAGCTTGATTCCTCTTTTCCTTACCCTTCTGCTGTCTCAGCCAATACTTTTTACATAAATAATTCTTTCACCTCATGGACAGAAAAGAAAACTTAATATCTCTTTCCATCTGATTTCTAGCCTGCCTCTAGGTGCAGGGGCCTCATGAAAGGGGAGTAGGGCGGCAAGCCCTCCCCTAATTAAACACACAGGACCTGGAGATGTTTCCCCTGGGTGCTAGGGAGGAACCTGTCTCCCAGGTTCCTCCTAGGAGGAGAGCCTTTCTCCCATTTGACAGTTGCCGGAGAAGCCTCAAGTTGTGGCTGTGGTTATAACCTTCCTGTGTTTTGGACTGGGGACAATAATGATGAAGACATTTTGGGACCAGGAGGGGTGCCTTTAGGTGTATGAAAGAGGTGGGTATGGGGCAAGGGGTGGGCCCTGTGCTTTGGTGTATGGGTGAGAGGCTTTGTTTGCTGTCTATTGGGGAGGATTCTTAGAGAATCACAATGTTTTCTGTTGGTTTGAAATGAAGGGAGTTGAGATTTTGTAGGCATGCGAAGAGGGGAGAGACGATAGCTCAGGGATGAGGGGTTTTGGTGAAATTGTGTCAGGACTACAGATGGCCCTACGATAACAAACACCTGGAGAAATCTATTAAATTTTGTCTGGCCCACTAGCTCCATGACCCTTTTCATTTCTAAGGGTTTCTGGATTTAATTCTAATCTAGGTGGTTGTATTTTACTTAGTGGAGTAAGAAAATGGCCTTAAAAACCAAACACCACCACAGAAAACAATGGAACCTCCTAGATGAGATTCTGGGCTATCTACTCATCCAGAAAAGTCTTGTTGGATATAATTTGGATCCAAGTATCTGCTTCAATTTGTCCTCCTATATGTATCTTCTTTCCTTCTTAAAGACCTGTCAATTTTTCCCTTTTCCAAGTGTCAATTTTCTAATTCCAAAATATATTACTCGCAGAGCATAATGCTAGTTTCCCTGTTCATCTCCCTGCTGCCTCTGAAAGAAGAACCCAGAATATCATACGGGTGTTGATTTTCTGTCATATGAGGATTGACATTGGGATGACAGAACCAAAGAGTCTAGGGATGTCAAAATGATTTAAACATCTCATATATGTCCATATTACTTGTTACGCAAAGAAGTTCAGGGTTCACTTGGAAGCCTCTAGGATCCACTATACGGTCTGCTTTCAGGATTTACAACTTTGCATTTAAGAAGTCAAGTGGACGGTGAATGGGAGGGAAACAAGCCTGCAAACAGTGAGTCTAGATCGGAATAATTAAGGCAAGAAATGGCCAGAGAGTGAATTATTTTTTCTTGTGAACCTCTCTTTTTTTTTTTAAAGTAGAAGTTTTTATAAATGCAAGGGGAAATTTTGTCCCTGATATTTCTCTTGTTTCAACACAAATTTAATATTCCACTCTGTCTCTAAAAAGCAAAAGTGAAAAAACATTTGGTTGCTGTATACCAAGTTGACTTTCTATTTGTTTAAAGCCTTTCTTATTCTGGTTTCAAAATAATTTGCCTACTTATTGTATCTATTTCCAGAGCACAGTTGTTCGACTGTTTTGTAATCATCAGTAGCTTTCTGTATTTATTGACTTATTTTAATTTTGAAAATTTGAGAGACAAGTAATATATAACATTGTGTGAGTTCAAGATGTACCTGTTAATTTGATGCATTTACATATTGCAATATGATTACCATCATAGTTAACATTAATTAACATCTCAGTCATGTCATGTAGTCATAGAGGTCATATATCTCAACAACATCACTACCAGGTAGTTTAATACAGGGAAGCCACGTCTCAGAATTCTGCCACACATACATTTACTAGCAAGCAGGGGCAAAAACCATTAACAAACCTGTTGTTGGAAGCTCCTGAAAGTCCCAACTCTCCATTCCTTAGGCTCTCTGATTAGAAGAATAAATAAAAGTTTCTATCAGAGGCAAAATGTAAGAAACTGCTCTCTGGTAGAAAAGCAAACCTTCTAGTGAGATTAGGTGATGGATGGTCCCTTCAGGGAGGATCACAAAAATGATTGCTCTCCTCCAAGCTTTATGGGCGGCTGGGGGCACTGTAGTCTCATCACTCACTACAAAGGGTTTAGTTCTTTTTCTAGCCAATCCATATATCTTGGTTGCCTGTTTTTTCACCAAAAAGAGGAAAAAAAATCTAATGTTCTGTGTATGCAACTGTTTCTCAACTGAGTGGTTTTACTTCCACCCGTCCCTTGGCAATTTCTTGAGACACTTGTTATCACGACTGGGGAAGGGGTCTGTGCTACTGACAGCTGATAGGGAAGCTTCCCTCCCCCCACCACCAGCAAAGAATGATCTGGTCCACAATGTCAACAGTGCTGGAGCTGAGAAAACCTGCTCTATGCTCATGAATGAGCCCTGTGGTGTGGTTACAGGTATGGATATTCGAAGCTCCTGACAAGCCTCCCTCTGGGTGTCAACTGCTGACTTAAAGTCTTACAGATGCTACCAAACCACTCCTAGGGTGTGATTTCTAGATTAGCCTGCTTCAGCTATTAACTAACCATCTTCAGAATACAGATTAACTTGTACGCACAGACATACCACATGAGTCTAAGCCGTAGTGTTTTAAAGTAAATTCAGTAAATTCGGGTTTTCTTTTTCACAAAGGAAACCTGTCCCAGCCCTTCAGTGTTTACGACACCTGCTTTAAAATGGTCTTATTCTTATCCACACAGGGGATCATTTTGTCACAACTCATTTTGGGTCTCCAATATGTCATGTCAAAAAAATGAAACTGACTGCCTATTTAAGCTGTCTCTAATTTATCATTGTAATAAATATTCCAGTGAACATCTGTGTACATAATGTTTTAATATTTAAAATATTTTCCTTAGGCCATGTGGTACAAGGCAGGCTCTAAACACTCACAAGCCTCCCAATAAAAATTGCCAAATTGCCATTCAGGAGAGTTTGTATTGATTTATATGTCCAAATAACAAAATGGTTTGCTTAGCAAACAGAATAGTCGATAACATAGGGTATTACGATTGCTAAAAAATATTTGCAAATCAGATACGATCACTTCATAATTGGCAAAACAACTCATGCAGTATATTTTATTTAAACCACCTCATTTCAAGGCTGTTGAGCTGCTGGAAAAGAAAGTTTATTCTTGTTTTTTGGAATGTAGGTAGAGTTGTACTTGATTCCATTATCCCAACAAGTGAAACTACTGAAAATATGGATCAGGCGGAGAATCAAACAAGGGTGACTGAGTTTTATTTCTCTGATTTCCCTCAGTTTGAGAATGGCAGCCTCTTACTCTTCATCCCTTTGCTCTTTATTTATGTGTTTATTATTGTTGGAAATTTCATGATCTTCTTTGCTGTCCAGCTGGACACACGTCTCCACAATCCCATGTATAATTTCATCAGCATCTTCTCCTTCTTGGAGATTTGGTACACCACAGTGACCATCCCCAAGATGCTCTCCAACCTGGTCAGTGAAAAAAAGACCATTTCTCTCATTGGCTGCCTCCTGCAGATATATTTTTTCCACTCACTTGGGGTCACGGAGGCCTTTTTCCTCACGGTGATGGCCATCGATAGGTACATCGCCATCTGCAACCCCCTTCACTATGCAATCATTATGACCCCTCGTCTGTGCCTCCAGCTCTCTGTTGGCTCGTGTGTCTTTGGCTTCCTCATGCTGCTGCCAGAGATTGTGTGGATGTCTACCCTTCCCTTCTGCGGCCCCAACCAAATCCATCAACTCTTCTGTGACTTTGAACCTGTGCTGCGCTTGGCCTGTGCAGACACATCCATGATTCTGGCTGAAGATGTGATCCACGCGATTGGCATCCTGACTTCCGTCGGTATCATCACCCTCTCCTACATCAGAATCATTGCTGTGATCCTGAGGATTCCATCAGGTGAGAGCCGTCGGAAGGCATTCTCCACCTGTGCAGCCCACATCTCTGTTTTCTTGCTGTTTTTTGGTAGCGTCGGGCTCATGTACTTACGCTTCTCTGTCCCATTCCCACCACTGATGGACAAGGCCACTGCAGTGATGTTTGCTGTCTTTGCCCCACTTTTCAACCCGGTAATCTACAGTCTGAGGAACAAAGACATGAAAGACGCCATCAAGAAAGCCTTCTGTCCTCAAAAAATGTTCAGTGTCTCTGGAAGCCCATGAGAGTCCAGACACATCTAGTGAAAGAAGTATCTCCTTAAATTTAAAACACTAACAAGTCAGTTCTAAAAATGACTGTGCATGCTTTATGGTCACGTTGTTGTTTGGGCCCACTTTCCAGTTTTCTAACCTAAGAACTATGTTTCATCTGTTCGATATTTATTTCTTACACATCTAAAAATTTCCCTTACCTACTCTGGAATTCTTCACAATACTCTGATATCAGCTTTTTTTTTCATCTTAGAAAGATTAAGATGTGCAGCAGTGAGGTGGTTTTAACCTCAGCACGAAGCCTGGCTTCCTAACAATTCATCTCAGAGACCTTTACGCTTCCATAGGTTGTGTCTAATCTCCTACAAGGATCACGGAGCTCTTAATGCCACTGACTTAATGATGTTTATGTCATGCTGTTCTTATCAACTCCTTTGTGGGTTATGTTTCAGGTCATTTTGAAAATCCCAGAACACACACTCTTGGAAGCTTGAAGATTAAGTGGATAAAAATATATAGCCTTGGAACCCCCAAAAAGACATACATTATTTAAAGATAAATAGTGATACCTTGATGGGTTCATTTCTAAAAATCGAATATCACTATGTTAAAAATGGTCCATGTTATGCTATGCTGTATTAAAGTGCCATGCCACGTCATAGCTCAGTGTCTTGGTTTGTACTGCTTTTCTGCTCTGGAATGTCCTTTCCTTTGTTTCTGCCTTGAAGATACTCTCGCCACTAAAAAGTTCACACACATTTTATACTTTGGGATAAAGCTCCCTGTCTTTCGCCCACAAAACCACACTGGTATTTTTAGAGGTAAACTAGATTGCCTCTAGAAGCTTTTGCCCGGCTCCTGTGGGAGGCAGTCTAAGGAGGCAGGCTGATTGGCAGTGGCAGCTTAGAGAGCAAGAGGTCAGCCAGTAGGTGAGGGAAGAAGGGAGATGTGGGAAGAATGCACATATTCGTAGTACAGGACACAAGGAAAAAGTCCCAGCTTCCGCCAGGCAGCTGGATAAATTCCGGGACCCGTCTGGGAGTGCTAAAGTGGAAGAAAAAGCTCGCTTTCAACTTGGGGTCAGCTCCAGACCCCTTTGTCTCCCAGGACTCAGGGCCCCAGCTCTATCCTTTATCCCCTTTCCCTCCTGTAAATGAAAATCCTCTCCTGTATTATTGTGGGCTTTTTGATATCTATGAAGAAAATTTTTGTGTGAAGAAATGATATAGAAGTTTCTTTGGTTATGAAATTAAATTTATTTGAAGTAAACATTCAGAAACCTAGTTCCTTGTTCTTTGAATTCCTGCTTAAAAATCTTAGTATTCCATTTATAAATCTAATAGATTTTTTATCATTCTACTATTAAAGTTTTTGGACAAACATTTGGTCTGATTTATAAAGTTGGCAATTGTATCCTTTTTAGCTACATTTAAATGTGATCTGCACTATTTTGTTTTTAAGATTTTCAATTTTCTGACAACAAAGAAAGCCTTTTTATGTTTTACAAATAACCTTTATGATCTAAAAAAAAGTAGCAAAACATAAATACCACTAATCCTAAATAATTTTAAAGGTTTCAATACTGTGATTAACATGGTAAGATTTCAATTTTAAATAATAAACCTAATATGTTGATTAAATGTCAATTTTATTGACTATAACTTTTATCTTAATAAAGTTGATTTAAAAGACAAATATAAATTTAAAAATTTTAAATTAGAGTTATAAGGTAGATATGATTTTCTAATTGGTCAAAGAATGCAAACACATCAAATAGTAAATATGTACAAATTCCTTAGTGCAAAATATGAATGATGTTTGATTCTATGAACTGTTTTTGTAGTTAGCTCTAAAATCTTGCAAAGTTTTAAAGATACTACCCAGTAAGGAAGTAATTATGTGACCCATTTCTTCATTCATGCAACAAATATTTACTGAGGCTACTATTCCAGGCACAGTTTTAGGTGCTTGTGATAAAAATGAAAAAAAAAAAAAAGGAAAGTCCTGTCCTTACGTAGCTTACACTGAAGGGAGGGGAGAGATTTTAAAAATACATATTAAAAATAAACAAAGAAAATGAACAAATTATAAAAAACTGTGTGTTCTGTGGAAAACAGAAAAGAAAATATTGCAGGATCAGAGGATCTGTTGTGGGAAGGAAGGTCCTAACCTTCAATACAGTCACCGTTTTAGACCTCATTTAGAAGGTTGCATTTGAACAAAGATTCAAACAAAATGAAGGAGTGAGTCATATGGCTCCATGGGGCAAAAATGATCCAGGCAGCCACGAAAGCTAGTGTACAAGTCCCAAGGTGGCTGCTCTAAGGAACTGAGTTGACAGCTGTGGTTGAAATGCACTGGGAGATGGAGATAGATCGCGGGGAGATGAGCTCACAGAAATAAGAGATGGGTAACATAGGGTATTGAGGGCCATTGCCAAGGTTCAGATTTTCCTAATTTACTCTGAGAATTGGAGTCACTGGGAGCTTCGAGCACAGGAGGGGTGTCATCCAATATGGAGTTTGAAAGAACCATGGTTGCTTCTGTGCTGAGAAGACAATGAAAAGAGGCAAGGGCAGAGCTGGAGTCCCTGGGAGGCTGTTGCCGTGACCCTGGTGGAGATGACGGTGGCCCGGATCAGGGTGGTGGCAATGGAGATGAAGAAATGGGGTTCAATGCTAGATGCAATCTGGCAAGAGAAGCAACGAGATTTTCTGATATACTGAAAATAAAATGTGAACGAGGGGTCAAGGATGAGCATCTGGAATGATGGAGTTGCGTTAACCGACACAGAGAATACTTCAGGAAGAAAACGTTTTTCAGGAAGAAAAAGATTCTACCGCTTGATAGGGTGATCTGCCAGATTATCTTGTAAGGGACATGGATATAGGGAAGAGTTAAAGTTGTGCCATTATTATTATTATTATTTTTGCAATATTGAGATCATTGCAATCCCCACATTGTGGTAAAATTTTCATTGGAACCTCTGGTCCTGAAACCATGAAAGTGTTAGGGGAAAACATAGGAATAAAACTCCTTGACATGTGTCTGGGTAATGATTTTTTTTGGGGGGTATGATGACACTTAAAATATGAGCAAAAAAGTAAATTAGAAACAAGTGGGACTATACCAAACTAAAAAGTTTCTGCACAGCAGAAGACACCATCAAGGAAGTGAGAAGGCAATGTACAAAATGGAGAAACATATTTGTGAAGTGTGGTAAGGGGTTAATATGCAAAATATAAAAAGGACTCACAGAACACAACAGCAAAAAACCCAAATAACTCAATTAAAAATGGGAAAAAAACCTAAACAGATACTTGTACAAAGAAGATAAATGAAAGGCCAGCATATACATAAAAAGGTGTTCAATCTCCCTAGTCGATGGGAAATGCAAATTAAGTCACAATGAGGTATCTCCTCATGCCTGTTAGAATGACCATCATCAAAAAGCAAGAGATAACAAATGCTGGTGTGGATGTGGAAGAAAGGGAATCCTCGTGCACCATTGGTGGGATTTTAAATTGGCACAACCATTATGGAGGATCCTCAAAAATGAAAACTAAAACCACAGCATGATCCAGCAATTCCATTTCTGAGAATATATCCAAAGGAAATTAAAAGACTAACTTGAAAAGATGTAATGTTTACTTGCAGTATTATTAACAATTGCCAAGATGCAGAAACAAACTAAGTATTCATCAGTGGATGAATGGTTGAAGAAGTTGTATATATACACGCATATATATATATATATATATACACCCACACATATATACACATACAGTGGAATATTATTCAGCCATTAAAAAAAAACAAGGAAATCTTACCATTTGTGACAACATGGATGGACCCTGAAAACATTATGCTAAGTGAAGTAAGTCAGAGAAAGAAATACTGTATCATTTCACTTATATGTTGAAACTAACAAACCAACACACTCATAGAAAAAGAGATCAGATTTGTGGTTACCAGAGGTGGAGGGTGAGGGAAGAAGGAATTGGAGGGGAGTGGTTAAAAGGTATAAATTCTTGGTTACAAGAGAAATAAGCACTAGGGATATTATGTACAGTACGATGGCAGTTGCTAACACTGCTGTATGATATGATGGGAAAGTTGTTAGAGTAGATCCTGAGTTCTAGTCATAAGGAAATAGTCTGGTTTCTCTATTCTTTCTTTTCTTTTTATTGCATCTAGATGCAAAGACAGATGTGAGCTGAACCTTCTGTGGTAATCAACTCTCAATATAAGTGAATTAAGACTTCATGCTGTACACTTTAAACTTATATACTGATGTATGTCAATTATTTCTCAATAAAAGGTGAAAAAAATGTGCATTCATGTAGCCTATTTGTTCTGAGAAAAATCTCTCTAAGAAGCCTCATACTTTTAAAAGATTCTTGGAGTTCCCAACACTAAGAAGAACTAATGAGGAAAATATCAGAGAAGGAGGTGTCCACTGATTAATCCATGGGGAAATGAAATTGCTGTTTTCCTCTAGTTATCTGGGGAAATCCTCTGGTAGAGAAATCCCCCAGAAAGCTTTTGAAATAGGTAAAAGTCTTTCCTGCTTAACAGAAAGGACTTAAACTGCATGAGACCAGGAAAGGGAAGGGACCTCATTGTCTCTACCAAAGGTAAGAGAGGGCATGTTGGTTCAAGATGCAGATTTGTCCTGTGTCAAGGAGAAAGTAAATTGGCTGCTGGGTAGATAGAGAAGGAAAGGACGCTTAACTTGTGCTCTTTCTGTTGACTTAAATAATAACATTTGGGGACATATTTGAGATTGCATGAGTGGTGGAATGGATTCAGGCTCAGTGGAGAGGAGCTACCTTTATGCTGTTTTGTCTGGGCAGAATGGATTGAATAAACAAGATTTTTTTCCCCAGTAAGGATATTGTTCCTCTGCTTTCACTGTCAGATGTTATAAATTATTCCTGATCGAGGAGGACATAATTTTATTTACTGCTCTCTGTTTCCAGTCAAATGAATATAAACCAAATAAGATAATG